CACATAGCTTTACTTGACCTATTGTAAATCGAGCATCACTCCTTTAAGAACTTTTTTTTAATAATAATGACATGCTTTTGGCAGACACAATGGTTGGCATGGAGCTCAAAGCTGCTTTTAACTCCTCAGGAAAGGAAGTGTGTCTTGGGATCTTTCATAATCCAAAACAATTTAAATACGATTTCAACTGCACAGACAATCCACTTCAAAGTTCCATCTGCATAGTTACGGCAGTTATCACAAGTTATGACTTCCTATTTCTCTGCTTTCATATGAACTGTTTATATTGCAACATTTTCCCCCAGTAGACTGGCAGCAAGTCAACCCATCACATAAGACAGAAAACTGTTTAATAGACACGGCACGTACACTTGGGTCATACCAAGGAAAGCACCAATGTGCTGCGTGATGCCTCCTGCTTCCGTTGATGCCACTTGAGTTTTTCGTAGGCTGTCAAGTAAGGTCGTTTTTCCATGATCAACGTGACCCAAGATAGTAACCACCGGGGGCCGTGGGGTCAGTACCACTGGGTCTGCAGGAGGCCTACAATCAGAACCAAAACATGTTTTGGAAATACCAAAAAAGTTCACTGAGTGACACGCGTGCCCATTATAGCTAACGAAGAGACATTTACCAGAACCCAGTGATGAAGAGGTGAGCCCAGATTCTCCCCAATGCAATCACAAATCCAACCCACACCACACCGTTAGCCCTCTTGGTCTTACTGCTGCATCGGTTAATACTGCAACTCAGTACATCAAAGAACTAGCTTTTCTTCAGAAAACAGCATAGAAAAAGTTCACCAAAACCAAATCAAATAGGAGTATCAGTTTTACGGCCAAAGAAATAAAAATAGTAAACCTTACCTTTTAAATATTAACAGATTGTGACTATATCAGGTATTATTGACATAACATCAGGACAAAGAAAATAGTGTACCCAAAAAGCACTTGCAGAAACAGGCAGGATAAAAAGAGCCAAAAAGAACAGTTCACGACTTACCTTTTCACAGCATCTGTGTTTTCTCTTTCTTTTTCCTCTTTCAGTTTGGCTGATTTATACTTCATTCCTGATTTTTTAACAACTAGCTTGATATGGTCTTCATATAAGATGGAATCTGGTTCTAGTGAATCAAGGTCAATGTCTGTGTATAGCAGCGCTTCATAAATATGATCTGAAGAAAAGATAAAGGGATTTAACAATTACAGCCACAAAAACACGTGGGACATTAAAAACCCAAAATCTACACACTTCATGCAGCTTAGGACTTTTTCATTAGCAGTTTATATTGTGCTAATGTTTGATTCACCAAGCATTTTTACTTCTGTTAGATTTATCTAAAAGTTCCTGTTACGCTACATATTTGCAGAGAAGAACTTAATTCAGAAACGTTTACTGAAAATGACTGCCTCATGAGATACTAGATCTTACTTTTCACTTGTTTTTTCATAGCTTATTTTTCCATTAACAAAACAACTGGAACTCATCTAAACCCAAATACCCAATAAATGATTCAAGAAGGAAGGAACTTTGGTAAGTCAGTTCATATGCCACTTTTTTTGGTAGTAGAAACACACAACGTACCGCAGTAGTCTAAAAATTGCTACATGTTGACCTAAGTATCCCTACAAATCTCTCTCAGAAACATACAGACATGACAATGCAAGACATGACAGACTTTTCTGCTTCTCTCCTCATTGCTGAGAGGGGAGTTTGCCAGAAAAAGCACCCAGCTGGATAAAAAAAGAGATCGGACATGGGTGTTATACATGTGTGAAATTACTTCATACGTCAACAGTCAAAACACGCTAACAACCCCCCTAAAACACACCTGGAAACTGGTCAAGCTGAGCCACTGTACAACCAGGGATGGCTCATGGGATTAAAAGCACAAGTTTCCTTCTGTAACCCAGTTGTTAGGGCAATCACAAGTTCTGCTTAGTCACAGTTAATTAAATGACTGCTTTAATGAAATACATATTGCTCCTGAATCCAAGATTCCTGCTCCGAGCTGAGTATCTCAGGGTTGGATTATGGGCTGAAGCTCTTTTGCACCTTCTCTCTTTAGCCACTGGGGTCCAGCTTCAACAAACCAAGGTGCAACTTTTTTCCTTCCAGAATAATTTAGCACTTGGGGAACTCAGTCATAAAGAGCAGCTGACGTGGATCTGAAGCCTTACTGCTGGAGACAGAAGGGAGTCCTGGCTTCCTCTCATTGAAGTGGGAATTTGGACGGCCCAACTTTTTTTTCTATTTAGTCTGCCATTGTGTCTACTAACATTTTCTCTGTTACAGTTACAATCTACCTTGCTAAGGGAGAGATCAGCAACCACTAACTAGTGCCATCATAGACATCTTTGCCTTTACCACTCATCTTACCTGGGAATTTGGATGGCCCAACTTTTTTTTCTATTTAGTCTGCCATTGTGTCTACTAACATTTTCTCTGTTACAGTTACAATCTACCTTGCTAAGGGAGAGATCAGCAACCACTAACTAGTGCCATCATAGACATCTTTGCCTTTACCACTCATGGAAGTGGGATGACAGATTTCAAGTGTCTTGTTTCATTCAAACAACAGAGCAGGTTCTCACCTATGTCTTTACCCATAGCCCGTGCAAGTTCCTCAACAGTCATCTTCTGCCTTATTTCCACTTCACCTTTTGTCAGTGGTATCTTCTTTTTCTTCTTTTTTGTCTCCTACATGGAATTAGACATGTATATAGGAACACATAGCTGGCATAAACTAAGAAATAATAAAAACAACATTAAAAAGACAATGGTCTCAAGCCATATGATGTAAACACATCTTTTTTAGTACAATACAATACTACAATAAGTGAATGACTTAAAATATCATACTAGATATTTAAAACGTACAGCATACTAAATCTGCTTTTCCTTTTTAATTGTCTACAATACTAATGGATTACAATAAGTGAATGACTTAACATATCATACTAGATATTTAAAACGTACAGCATACTAAATCTGCTTTTCCTTTTTAATTGTTCAAAACAAAGGAAAAAAATCAACAAAATAATTTTCATTTTTGTTTGTGATAATTTCCTCCTGCCCCTGCAAGACTCATGATGCTGGTGGTATAAACGCTTTAAGTCAATATTTGAGAGGAAGTCACAATGCAGTCATACATTAAGTACATTTTGTCTATTAAATTTATAACAACTTCTCTATATTCATTAATAAAGCTCTCTTTTTTTGGTAATTAAAATGCTCAAACTGAGCTCTTGTACTTTGAAATTTCACAGAAAATCAGAGATTATTGGACTTTGTTAATTACCTCCTTTGTAGCTAGATGTCTGTGTTGTGATAAGGCAATACTGATTAATTTGTCTTTTTGCCAGAACTGTGGATACAGAAGAACAGACCGCACGGGCTGTGCAGATGACTGCACAGGCTTCCATTGTGCTCTGTTAACTCTTCTGTAGGAGAGAGTACACAGCTGCTGGCGAGCACCACGTAACTGGACCAGTTTTTCAAACTTTAGTATCAACCCTCGATTCATTTCCTTACTGAAAACACAAAGAACACATTGAAATCAGTCTCAAAGCTGGAAGATACTCTTTCATATGATAATGCAGACAGGAACACAAGGCACAAATGTTATTGTTTCAAAACAGGCTTTTTAATGCTGAAGAAACTGAACTATATAGTAACTGTCCCAGTTTTTCAGTTTCCTGAAGTGCTTCACCTTTCTTCACTGTCCCACTGCAGACACACAGATCACCACAGCCTACAAATCTTCCACCTATCTCCACTGATCTTTAATACAAACTTCTGAAGTCCCCATTTCCAGTTCTTGGATGCTACCTAGAAAAGGAGAGACATTTGCACTCCTCATGCTATACTGGTAAGAGTTACCCAGGTGCAACCTACCTCTCTAAGCCCGTAAAACACACTTGCAAAATGCCACTTAGAATCATAGAACGGTTAGGGTTGGAAGGGACCTTAGAGATCATCGAGTTCCAACCCCCTGCCCTGGGCAGGGACACCTCCCACTAGAGCAGGTTGCTCCAAGCCCCATCCAGCCTGGCCTTGAACACCTCCAGGAATGGGGCAGCCACAGCTTCTCTGGGCAACCTGTTCCAGTGCCTCACCACCCTCACTTACATGAGCATATACTACCACTAAAAGACTGCAGCACTGTAGTAATACCAGTGTTGGCACACGGGCAGAGATGTCCTCTGAGGCTAAGCCCTGGCTTAGCAAATAAGCTTTCCAAGATGCTTCTGTCTGCTCATCTCACATCTTGTTTTAAACATCTTAACTTCGAGTCATTTTGGCTAACTACCCAGTAGAAAAGTCTCCCGTTCGAACTCTTCTCCTTGTTCAGAGCTGCTTATTTTCTCCTTCTGCTCAGCGATGCCATTCTCTGTACCTTCCACGACTTCTCTCACAGGTGGCTTTGTACCATCTCCCAAGCAGCTCCGAATGACTGAAATGCTGTCAATTCCTCCCAGAATGCCTGCGGTGCCTTTAAAAACTCTCCTCTATCCGGACACCCGCAGGAAGCGAGCAGAGGACAAACTAACCAACCAAAACCAACTACTACTGCTACAGACAACGCCGAAGGGGCGGGATCGGTGAAGCCGAGGCCCCCTCAGCAGCTGCTACAGGACGCTGAGTGCAGGGAGAGCGACATAAGGGGCCAGGCGAAGCCGGAGAAGCTCCCAGAGGAGAAACCCACGCCAGGCTGCTCCCGGCAAAGGACCCCTCCGCCGGCGGCCCGCCCCCCTCTGACTCCTACCGCCCATCCTTGGGGCCTCTACCGCAAATCAACGCGCGTCGTCCCCACACACACACACACCCCCCACAGCGGGGACACCACCGCCACCTCAGAAACCGCCTCACCCTGCTGCCAGCGGGACTACACCGCTGTCAGCCCGCCGAGCTCCCGCAGCCGCGGCCTCCCCCCTTCCCGCACCGCGGCGGCTTCGGAGCTTTTAAATATATATATATATATATAAAAATATACAGACACACACACTTGAATTTGGTTTTCTCCTCTCTAACAGGAGGGAGTAGCTTTTCTTTGCGATGCCCTCCCGTCCGCCTCCAATCTAAAGCTTTCTCCCTTGAAAAACGGGAACTAGAGGGTCGCTTTTGGGGGCGTTAACGACTGTTGAAAAGGGGTCATGATCTTTGGAGGCCGCAGATCAGCTTTTTATTGAGAGTTCTTTCATCAGTTGGAGGGGACCTCAGGAGGTGTCCAGTCCCAACCCCTCGGTTCAGGGTTAGCTCTGAGATCAGACCAGGTTCCTCAGAGCTTTATCCGTTCTGGTCTTAAAGACTTCCAAAGGATGGACCCTGTGCGACCTCTTCACCAGGAAAAGTAAAGACAATACTGTTTCTGCCAGTCCAGACACAAGTTTTGAAAGATTCATGTCTGTGGAGGCCATCGACATGTAAGTCTGATAATGCTTTTTGTGTGTATGGCATCCCAGGTGCTGTGTTTGCTCATACTCCTAGACTTTTCATGAATAAATTAAAATATAGTGATATCTTCCCTGGAAATGTTCAAGGCCAGGCAGGATGGAGCTCGGAGCAGCTTGGTCTGGTGGCAGGTGTCCCTGCCCAGGGCAGGGGCGTTGGAACTGGACGGATGATCTTTAAGGTCCTTTCCAACCCAAGCCATTCTGTGATTTGCTGATTCTGTGATTTAACGTGGCTGATTGTTTTAAAGGTCTAATTTGGCATTTCTACAATAATATCGCTTAATGAGCCAGGGGAAAGAAAGAGATTTAAGATGAAGCTCTGTCCAAGGGGGCTATTTGACAAGGAAAGAGACAGATTGCCTGAAGAAACACCAAAACGTGCCCAGCCCTGAAGCTCTGGGGGTTTAATTTTCCTTATCCTTTCCTCCTGCAGGTGTACCCCGTGCACAGCCACCAGCACCCCCTCACCCGCCTCCCTCCGGAGCCGCTCTCCGCCAGCACCGCCCGCCGCCACCTCACGGCGCTGCCCGGCGGAAGGGGCGGCCATGGCGGCGCTCCCGCCCCTCACCCGGCCCCGCACCAGGCGAGAGGGAGATGGCGGCGCCGCCGGAGCTGCGGGAGGCGCTGGAGCAGCGGCTGCGGGACCTGGGCATCGCCGCCGTCACCGCCGAGCACCCCCAGGTAGGGGCCGCCCCCTCTTCTGGCATCATCCGGGTCCTCCCGAAACCCGGAATGAAAATTCTCCCTCCCACCAGGGTAGCGCGGGCTGCAGGGCGGTTTTAGGCCTTAGTTGTCAATATGGGATTTCTCTGTTGGTCCTACACACGCTGGGCCTGACAGAATGTTTTTGGGTACTTTTGGGCCGTTCGCCCCCCGTCCCCCAGCTTCCCTTTTCCCCCTCAGTTCTTCCTATGGCCCATCCAATTCTTCACCACGGAGTCACCAGCCTCCAAAGTTCCTTTCACTCTCAGTGAAAAATGCACACACCGCACCATTCCTGTCTGCCTGGGGTGGGTCTGCAAAAAGGACTCCTCTCAGCGCTGCCTTTTTGTATTTTTAAAGTGCAATATTCTTGCAACACAAGTGATTCGGAAAGTAGGCAGGAGCCATATGTCACTTTGTGTTCCTTTAAAACATCTTCATAAAAGGGTACAGTTTTGAGGCTGAGTGTAACCTTTGGGATTTTCTAAGGATTTAATAAAAGATACCTGCCAGGACACATCTAAAAGTCTAATGGGAAAAAGTCTCACACTACCCTGACTATATTTTCCAGGTGTTCACCGTTGAAGAAATGATGCCCCATGTCCAACATATGAAAGGAGGTCACAGTAAAAACCTGTTTCTTAAAGACAAAAAGAAGAAAGGGTTCTGGCTGGTGACTGTTCTGCACAACAGGCAAGTCAATTTAAATGATCTTGCTAAAAAACTGGGTGTTGGAAGTGGAAACCTAAGATTTGCTGATGAAAACGCCATGCTGGAAAAGCTAAAAGTGGGCCAGGGCTGTGCGACACCTCTAGCCCTCTTCTGTGACCAGGGAGATGTGAGGTTTGTGCTGGATGCTGGCTTTCTGGAAGGTGGCCACGAAAAGGTGTATTTCCATCCGATGACAAACTCTGCAACCATGGGCTTAAGCCCCGACGACTTTTTGAAGTTTGTGAGATCTACAGGCCATGATCCCATCATCATACATTTTGATGAAGACATTCAGTAGATGAAGTTTACTTTTCTATTATCAGGCATAGATTTTGTAGAGCAAAACTGGTGAAAAGTCTCATTACAAATAAAATTTGGGGGAGGAAAGCTTACTCCTTTATTTTTTCAATTGTGTACGTTTATATTGTATAATCTGGTGAGAAAAAAAAAATACTGTCTTCGGGTTATTAAAAGTTTAACAGAATAGTCTCAAAAAGACAAGACATGTTTGCAATCTACCATTAAGTAACCAGAACTAGAAAAGGCATTATTTGAATAATGTTATACTGTTTATTAATAAAACGGATAAAACTGGAACTTTCCATGTGTGGTACTGGCCTTGAAGGTTTAAACTTAACATCATTAAGAAATAACAAGTTAACTTAAAAGTTATAAAATATTTGTCAATACATACAGGACAGAGATGTCTAAAATTGTGCATCTGAACTCATTTACCCCCTTCTACATGTTGCTTTATTATTTTTACCTAGAAATAACCCCAACTTGGCTACCCTACAGAAAACACATTTGATTGTCTAGGTTTTTAGTTGCATTTTCACTTTCACAGTATCCTCCCCTTGCAAAATAATTAAGCCTTCTGGTAATGGGCTCGTGAGGACAGGTGTGACCCATCTAGTGCCTCCCCACGAGGCAGGGCAGGGGGTGAGCCCGGTACCTGCCTCCCTCCTGGCAGAAGAGCACCAAGGAACAACGTCACTGGGGGTTCCTGACCAGGTGTAGTACGTCCTGCTGACACCTGGGAGGAAAGTTAATAAAACCTGAAACTGCATTCACTTTCGTGGGCAATTTCTACAGATTCACGAACCCGCGGAGGACGTGCAACTTCTCTGCTCCACCACACCCTTAGCCAGCGCCTACAGCAATGGGAAGAATGGTACAAGAAGTAGCTGTGCTTGAGCTTCTCCCTTCAGGAGAAGGGGACCGCACGTACAAAACATCTGTGTGTGTAAGAGGTTGAGGGGAGGCTGATTTGGCTTTCAATAGAGAATATATATTTAGTACTATCACAAGAACAAGAACGGTACATTCTCAACATTAAATTTCTAATCTAATTCCTTCTCCTCTCCTGCCTATCCGAATAAAACGCAAACAGATTTTGTGTTGAAGACAGAAGCAGCAGAAACTCCATGAAGGCCCGTGTGTGCGCTGCACCAACGAGTACACACACACCACCCAGAGACGGGAGCAGTGAAAGCGAGGGACAAAACCCAAAGAGGATGGGGAAAAGGGCTTTTGAGCACAGCCTAACAAAAATGTCATGTACAAACTATGCCTGAAGGCAAGCAAACAGTGGGAACACAAGTTGAGACAGAATGGAAATAAAGAAGACAGAAGAGTGCAAAAAAACCACACAAAAGGGCTTGCAATGTTGGATTACTATTCGCTACTGCATCATGCTAAAGGATGCAACACGAACGATGAGAAAGGGAAACACTTAAAAAAAAAAACCAAAAACCAAGGCAAAAATGAGCCAATTTGACTCAGTTTCATTCTATATGGCCGAGACAGTTCTATGAGAACATCAACAGTTGTGTGCTGGGTGGTTTTTTTCCTCCTATTAAGAAAGTGGAATCTTCTACAGAATGAGCAACTACCATTAACTATATAAAGAAAAAGCCTCTTCTAGGGCAAGGCAAGTTAGTTCCCAATGATCCTTACCATGGTTTCCTTCATTTCTGAAGGATTTGGCACCTGTTCTCAGAGATGTGAGCTTAACAACAGAATACATCACCATACAGCCGTTTAAAATTCTCCCGCCTTAGAAGGGCCCAAAGCAACCCCACCTATAGGGACAGTTGTCTCAAATGGGAAAGAATTGACCTAAAAACGTTGAATGAATAGGAAGAGTCACCGGAAAGATGTCCAGATACATGTGAATTTGTATTTGTTATTAAATAAAAGCCTGAAAGGAACATCTGGTATTTGGGAATATTGGGTGGATTACTGAAGTCTGGATTGACAAATGCGTTACTGAATTAGCTAGATATAATTAGCTCAGATACAGCCTTATATGTCTTTACAAGTAAAATTTATCCTACCCTCTGCCTGCCACTCCCTCTCCCCTGAAGGTTTCTTCTTTGTGGTACCCTAAAATCCTTTATCGCTTAAAAAAAAATTAAGTTTGACTTGTCAATGTTTTTAAATCCAGAAAGCTTTAAATGCAAAAAATTGTTTTAAAGACATGCACGTTAGCAGTTTACTATGCTTCATGAATCTCAAAAATCTGTACTGTGTCTGTCCTCAGAAGAGATTCTGAGACTCGTCTTGGCAAAAATAAAGACCAAGCAAAATCAAAGCTTCAAATATTACATTTAGCAGATCTATAATGACTCTTTTTTGTATCTACTTATGAAATTAGTGTCTTTTTGTAAAAAATAATATCAAAATAGTGTATAGTTAAAAGCTACACAGATCTACACAAATAAAGAACACACAACAAACAACACACTGTCCAGAAAAATTCTGCTACAGTTTTATGGGTTTCCTTCTGGAAGAAATACTGAACACAACAACAACTGACCACAACGCCATCACTTAACACCAACATCCTGCCAGCAACAGCAGGTTCCAGGAAATGTGTGTTTAAATGTACACACAAAATAAGAATAAAAGTTATTTGGTTTGGCATTTTAATAACATCATTAATAAATGTATACAATGGCAAACATTAAAAAAAAAATCAATATGTAAAGGAAATTACAGTTTTAAATAAGAGTTTTAAAGTTTTGTTTCACACCTAGGTACATTCCTTTAAGGCAGTTTCATTAATATCAAAGCATTATTTACATAAATATTATCACCTAACTCTAAAAATCATACATGAGCTCCTTTGTTGAGGCTGCATCATGTCTTGGAAAAAGTTTAGAAACAATAGGTGTTGGGAATGTTACTAAAATCTCAGCAGACTATCAGAAAAGTAAATAAAAATTATATATTGTATAGTACTACAACCTCTTGTCATCTTGAACTAGCAGTGACAGATTTGGCAACTCTTGCAGTAAAAAGCTGTGTGTACACTCTTGTAGGCTCTCCAACAGCTGCTGTGTTCTTTCCCTAGGAGTTCGTGTTTCAGAAAATGTGAAGCGGCACCCATATTAAATTTATGCTTTTATTTTAAGGGCACAGACTGGAAATATTAAAGGAAAAAGAAAATAATCTAAAAATCGTCAGAGCACAGAGACCCTCCTGACTGCTCTTCGGCTCTGAAACTTCTTTGCAAAAGAAACTGCTGGGAGAAGTAGATTCCAATCTCTGAAATGTAAATATATGCCTGGTGCTGCTTTTTGGCTAATTTAGCAAATGGAACCCAAAATCCCACTCCGGCCTCAGTACTGATACAGACAAAGTGGGTCAAGTCCTGTTACAATGGCCCAGATGGGCACTAGCCAGGGCTCTGGCACACAAACCTGACCCACGCTGGGCTCTGCCCGAGCAGGGTGAATTCTGTCCCCAAACTCCTGCCAGTTCTCTCATACAGAGAAACTTTGCTTCGGTTTTTTGGATGAGGGGGTTCATTTCTAACACACGTTATCAGTTAGATAGTAGCTGTAAAGCTTCTGACTACACCCTGGCGTTTTTGGATGAGGGGGTTCATTTCTAATACACGTTATCAGCTAGAGAGTAGCTGTAAAGCTTCTGACTACACCCTGGCTGTGACTGCACAGATGCTTTAAGAAGGCGTAATAATATGCAAAAAGCAAGTGCAGAAGTTGGGACAGGTAATCGTGGACAACTTACTGAACATAGAAAAGAGCTGAGCTAATAAATAAAAAGTCAGGAGGTGTGGGGAGGGCAGGCTGAGTGCCCAGAGAAGGGCCTGCCATGCCATCACGGCTGTACGCCGCTCCGGCCTGACTCCCAGGGTCACGGAGAATCTACCTCAACACACACAACTGCTCTGATTCGGTGAATACAAACAGCATTTGGCACTACAGTTTAAATCTGTTAATTCAAGACACACATCTTCTTCTAAAAATAGTAACGCTACTCAATGGTTAGGGTTTAATAGCTTAAAAACGCGTTGGTCCTCTGTTGCCAAGAGAGCTAGGAGAATCCAGTCACAACCAGACCCTGAAACGAGCTGGAAAATATAACCTTCCTAATGTTTTTATGGCATTTCAATTCTCTTTCCTAACACCTATGCCTTTAGTAAGGGGCTACCGGCATCCCAGATTTTGCATCTGCCTACAAAATTCTGTAAAGGCAACTTTTCCTTCAGTCCCTATGGCTCTGCCTGGATTGCAGTGCAGGGATAAACCAGGCTCGACCCCAGGTTCTTATTGCTTAGAGTGACTCCCAGAGCACGTCGGGGCTCTGTGGGCTTTGCTTGGTTTTGGGGAAGAAACTCGGCTGCGCCCTGAGCTCCAAGTCCGTACAGGCCACACAAATTACCTGGGTAGAGGCCCATGTTATGTTAATAACTGCAAAAATCACCACTCTTCCACCGAAATCAGTGAAAATCTTGACAGAGATGAAGGGACCAGAAATAGATGCTAGCGTGAGTTGGCTATCAAAATAAATTAATGGATTTAATCAAATACCAGAAATGTCTTCAGAGGAAGAATGGGAATTCTAGATGGTGGAGAGCTGCAAAATTGACTGTATTTTCACTTAAGAAAAATACCCAAAAAACATTTAATTTCTCTGTGAAAACAATCCTAGGCTGAACCAAGTGTTTATAATGTAAACCCAAAACATTCTACTTAGATCTAGATCTTTTAGCACCCTTTATCATAAAAAGTATTTCAGAAGGAAGTCACAAGAAAATTTCCCTTTCTAAAGCTTACTGAACTTTCCTCTTTTTTTTCCCCTTTCTGACAAAATTTCAGGAAAACGAAAAAATGACTTGCCAGTGTGCTTTTGAATCCGTTGAACTGCATTCTCCCTCCAGTGAAAAAAATGACTGTTCCAACTGTCCCTGCCAGCTGGAGACCTCACCCTGCCAGAAGCTGTGTGGCCATGGAAAGGAGCTGCTCCTGCGCCTGCGACCCTGCTGAGAGTGGGAGACGGGACCCTAGGAAGGTTACACAGGTAACTTAACCCTTTAGGAGAGGAATACAAATGTGCTGACTGATCTGTAATACAATGTGATTATGATAACTCGTTTTGGATCTGCTTATCAATTCATGTACGCCTCCTTTGAGCTCTCTGCAAATGCTTTCCAGACAACAAATGTATGCAACCGCTGAACGTACCGATAACATTTGTTGACTTTAATATAAATCAGTAATGAACAAAACGTATTTTACTAATAAAAGATAACCTTTAAGGGGAACTGATTGTAAAATGCATATGAT